AGTAGGAATCAAGAAGAATCTTATTCTTTTGTTAATCCACAATTGATTCAATCAAAGATGATCATGTTAAGTATGGATGATATGCAAAGATTTTCGTCCAATCAAATCCTAAGAGAATGAAAATCATTTGAATTTTAGTTTTTGCGTATTTTACGGCTCTTAAAGCTCTCATATTTCTTCTCACTTGAAACTCGACTATAGACCAAGCAAATAACAATATATAGTCACCTATTGCGCCAAGAGATTTTGCATGTCCACGCATTATAGTTACTTCAACACGAGTATTGGTCTTTCCTCATCAACGCCCATGTTCGCACAAATTTTAACAGCTTCATGCATAGAAGATTCAACTTCACGCCTCCGCTTGACCATATTGCTATTCAAATCTCATAAAACCAACACATGACAATAGGAGTTGGTTTTCTAATACAACTTGAATCATCTCAATTGAAGTTCAGGTGACGTGTTTATTGTCACTAAAGCAAATAGTGACAAAAGTGTCACTGAATTTCTTCTTCAAGCGTTGTTTTTACTTTTGAACTTGATGTAATAAAAATAGTTAGAGAACAAACTAGAGCCTAAATTATAACAAACAAGAATCAATATTTAGAAGTAATGCAATTGAGTCCATAATATGCACTCGATCACACCCACAAAATGTAAATTACCACTTTCGTGGAAAATACGATTGCGTGTAGCACACGCTCCGCGAGTGTACGAATTATACTCGCATGAGGGTCTGCAAAAATATAGCCATAAAAATCTTAAAATCCCAAGACATAATAACTAAACATCAAGTATGAAAAAACTAACCATACTTCCATATGAAGAGCTTGAATTTCATACACTAGGTATAATATCTTTCATCTTAATAGCAAGAACGGTTTAAATTGTACATAAAAACACACAATACAACATGAGACTTTAATTTTGAATACTAAATTGTAGAGTTATACGGTAATCCTCCCGAACTTCAATCAGAAGTCGCCTATGATAAAAAGAAAAGCGAACAAGAGGAAGAAGTACCCCATGTCTAAGTGACTAGGAAGATATTTGATTCCACTATTGATTGAGATTTCCAAACTTAAAGAAATCAAGAAAGGTAAAACAAAGGGAAGTTTAAGAAAAATCAAGAATGGAATAAAAAACGTTAATAATGTACTTGTGTTCGCGAGTCGAACACGGAGTTGCTTGAGCTCGGCTAGGGAACTATCAACGAACGTGAGATTTTTTTTAGGCACTCTGGTTGAATAGAAATCAAATTGAGCTTCCACCGAACCTAATTCGAGTTATGGTCGATCTATAAACATTATGCATAGTTAACTATTTCTGCCCATCACATTCACCTTACTAGTAAATCATCATTCTTCCGTTTATTTTAAGTCCACTTAATAAAATTTAACCTGCAATAATCTGATTCCAAATTTGGATTAAACGAAGCAAAAAGACAAAAAGGGGATTAGCCGACACTCTTAAAATGTAAGCTCTGCCAATAAATAGGACAGTGATTTTACCGAGAACTACGAAGAAATTTAGAACACGCTGTTTTTCTATACATTAAATTAAAAAACAAATCCTGCTCGACATTGAAAATCAGCAGGATCAGTCATCTGTACATAAAACTAACATAAGCTTTCGAGTATCACTCAGCTGATTCCCAAAATTACGTAATTTACATGGAATATAGCTTGGAGTTTCTGGATGACAAAAGACCTCATATTAGAAACGGAGGTATGATCCCTAACGCCTGAATAAATTACCAAATTACCCTCAACAAGCTGATATTCTCCTTCGCTTGTAGCATTTGAGAACCGCCCTACCATTGTTTTCTTGTTTGTCATTGCTAATTACTACAGGGTGTTGAAGCGAAATATCGGTCTGGACAGGTAAGCATTTGGACGGTTTGTATACATCCACCTGCACACATAATTCACCATAAAAATTTCCGAAAAATATGCTTACATTTTATAAGATCGATATATCTAATTCAAATGGTTTGGCCGATATCAAGTACCTCAATAGCCAATTGAGATGAGCAGTTGCCGTTTTCATTTTCCGCAACTGTTGCAGTGCTGAAAAATAAAACCGCAATGATTAGCTAACTAATTACTCTTTTTTATATGTGAGGACTAATATTCTAGAGAACTTAGGAGCCGAGAAGGAAAAATCGGGAAAAATGTAATCATCGAACAATTAGAATTCTAAAATAATAAATAATATAGAACCAAAAAAAATTCTTCGAAGGTACCGTTAATTTGAAACAAAGGAGCTACATACATACAAGCACATTAAATCGATATGAAAACAAGCAACATATTTTTATCGTTTTAATATTGCATTACCATGTAATAGAAGATAATTCATCTACAATGTTGATAGTGTCCTCTGCTTGTCCGATTTGAACGACTTCAGAAACTGCACTGTTTCCATCCACCTCCATATTGGCATTTTCCTTCACAAGTTCGGAACTTTTCGCCTGTTTTTCTGCCGAAATTGAAATTCTCTTAGAGACGTTGCATAATATTTTTCTTGAAAAATAGAGAATCGAGAAGTAGATTGATTATTATCGCTCTTTACTAGTTTTGAGCATTTAATGTACCTGTGAATGGGCTTGACGGAGAGAAAGAAGGATTACTAGTTAAGCTTTTCTGGCAAAGAACTGTGCCCTGGAAATCGAGGAAGGTATAGTCGAGAAATTTTAATCTCTCAGATTCATTCACAACCGAGAAGCCAAATGCAGTTGTCCAAGTGTGAAGTACAGTAGGCACAGCTGGCAAAACAAGCCTCTCTACTCCCAATTCCGCCAGTTTCTGTAAACCAAAATCGATTTAAACATATTAGACAGCCGTATATTAATCAGATGGTATCAAGACTAATTCACATATCAATGCCCTCGAAAAAAAAATAGAAAAAAAAAAAAAAAAAAAAAAAAACAGGTTTACTGCACCTTCTCAAGTTCATTCATCAAAATCCGACACATGCCAAGTCGACGATATTGAAACCGTGTAGCAACAAGAGGGACTTCTGCTACTGTTTTGCCGTAAATCCTGGAATTAAAAACATGGGATTTTCTAGTTACTCTGAAAGAATATAATATAATCAAACACGTGCAAATTTGAGAATGTTAAAGCATAATAAGATACCTCACTGTTGCAGCTGATATCAGTTCTTCGTTCTTCTCCAATAGTACTGTATAAAACCCTTGGAAGTTCAACCGGTTTAGCTCTGACCTGAAAAAGAAATTCATATTATAATTAGTACGACTTTCCTGCGTTTGATTGAGAGCAAACACGGGGTTCCCTATTTTAGGATAAAAGCAATAGAAAGATGAAATTCCTATTTCGTTTCAGTTTTCATTTTTCGTTTTTAATTTCTATTCTCTCAAAATAAAACCGAACGTCCCTGCATATTCACCAATACAATCTTCTATTCCGTCGAAACATTTTTTTCCAAAATTAAACCAAATGTAAGACACTTTAAAGGGTTGATTCATCTATTAATACAAGTATGCATTAAATAGAGAAGATGTAATAAGCTCCAACTCTTACATAGTAATCGACCATACAAAATTCTCTCAATAAAAACAAACATATACACGAGAGAGATCTTACCATCTATTAAAAATAACATCTTCGACCAGATCCCTCCCAGTGCCAGGTTCTTTGACAGGTTCGAAACATTCATGCATCACACTCAGAGCAACATTAAGCTTGCTGTAATTCTCCACTAAACCCTCGTTATCAGACGTATTATTATGATCATGCGACTCCGATTTTTTATATTTCACTAAAGTCCAAGACAAGTCATCAGCCCCCAGAGGAAATGATTTTCCAAGAATGTTATGCAGACCACTAAATATCTGCAAAAGTAATATATCATCGTATTAAAACACAACACACAACAAGCATCTCGATATTATTATATTATCACATTCGTAAAAGGAAATAAAGCTAAGGTACCTGTTGACAACTATCTTGGCAAAACCAATACCCTTCGGGATCACAATTTAATACTCCTTTATTTCTGAGGCACTCCGCATGATCTACATAAAGTAGTTAACAAATTAGAGCATGATATAAAGATTGCATTTAAATTTAGCTTATGTATTAGACGTCCAACAAACACGGGAAAAAGACATATGGGAAACTTACATCGATGCTCACACTGACCACAAACAACTGCAGAAGAAGAATCTTTGGCTTGTTCGTTTTCTTCACCAAATCCGCTCTGCCCACAAATTTTACAACAGCACGACGGGCAAAACCAATCGCCAGATGGGATTTCCTGTAGAGCAAAACAACACAATCAGCAAACAGAATATTCTTCCAAGATTCCACTCAACAGTTACCTAATACTAACAATCAAGAAAAAAGGGAATACCTTTAAACCAAGGCACTGGATATGGAACGAAGAGGGACATCGGTCGCACAGAACTAATTCACCTCCAAAGTGACACACAGAACAAATGTAATCGTTTCTATTACCACTTTCGCCTCCCTTCGTTTTTTTGCTCGATCGTGAATTCGAACATTTGTTGCTCTTATGCTGTCTCAATTCCAGCTGGCACTCGAGCAAAGACCTGCCATCATTAAGAAAAATATTCGCACACGGCCTGTGATTTTTGCTGCCAGCATGTGCTTCGAATTTACAAAGCGTAAAGATTTCTCCACAGCAAGAACATTTAATCCCTTCACGTGATATTCTTCCTTCTGCCATTGGGAGACCGCTTCGAGCTCGATAGTGAACTTTTGCTCTAGGCAAAACCACATTATTGTCGATCAACCAAGACAAGATTGTCCGAGGAGTTTGCTGAGTGGAAGAATTTATCATGTCACGAACCCTTTTACTCGATCGCCTCTCATGGGTTGAAGAATCATCGTCCATATTATCTTCTCTTACTTTATTCGATAAACGGGATTTTTTTTTCCTTCCACTCTTGGCCAATGATGAATCTTCAATATCTTCACTACAACGTAATTTATCGTGCTTTCTCTTCTTCCTCGAAATTCTTGTTTTGTAAATTTCACCTTCAGTCGATTGAGCTGGTCCCTTTGACTCATTTGATAGATTCTTGAATTTTTCATTTGGTGGAGGTAAATTTACGGATGACGATTCCACAGCAAGCAATGGAAGATGAGACTGATTCTCGAAATCCGTTAAATGATTTGGATTTTGTACACACCATTTGCAGACTGAAAGAAGGGAGTAAAATAACATTCCAGTTGGTGAGAGGTACCGCAATTCCCTACCGGATCCTTTGACTTTGTAATAAAAAGACCAGCCAGTAGCAGACAAGTGCTTCTTCGCTTTCAATGATTTTGTTTTCCCCTCCTTATTTTGGGATCCTAATTTTTTCTTAGTTACGCCATATAAATAATAATCACTCACCGCTTCAGGGCAATACTCAGGTTCAACGACGACCCAATCATCTGTGTCCAACTTGGCCAGCTCACTCGAAGCTTTCGGCTTTTCAGCAAATGGAGGCGTAATGATTTCTTTAGTATAAGTCACTGGAATTTCCAACTCGTGATTTGACTGGTCAAGCTTCAAACAAATCTGACGAATGGAATAAAAACATTCCCCATTGGGAGAAAGGTAACGAAATCTAAGTACCCCCTTATCGACTGTGAACTCCAGTTTCCAGCCCAAATGCAACAGATGTTTACGAACACTCATAATTACTGTAGGTGAGGGCCTTTTCATCAATATAAACTGCTGGTTATATTCATCAATGGAGTTTGGACAAAACTCCGCACCAGAAATCAATTTAGGTACAACTGACTGCCACACTAGTCTATTTTTCTTCGCTTGTGGGAATTCAAAACTCGAAACAGGAGCTTCAGCGTAATCATTAGAATCTCGATCATGATTATGGGATAGAATAGCTCGAGTTTGTTTGTTCTTTTCTTGGACCTCAACGTGACTTTGATCATTCAACTCAGTTGGGGCAGCAGCTTCAACGGGCACCATTGCAAGAGATTTACTAAAAAGTCCCTCATTTTTCATAACAAAGTCGAAAGCCGATTCATTAAATTCCACCAAAGATTGTCCCGAATTCCAAGATGAATTCAATTCGACAAAGATCTGCTTAACGGTTATCTTTAAATTATCGATCAAAACCTGCGAAACCAACTCCCTCCAAACACGAGCACCAGAACAAGTCCACTCCCTTAGCTTTTCAAATTCGTTCTTCATCCTCACTTCGTACCAAATCTGCTTAACAGAAACGGGCAAAGGCCATTCTTGTTCGACTTCCTCAATCAATTCGAGAAAAACCCAATTCCCACGAATCTTCCATTCTCCGGTAAACTCATCCCAATCTTTACTCAGCCTCAAATTATCAATTCTCCCTTCCATTTCATCGCCCATGTCGGGAAAGAATATTCTCCGATACTCACATCCATCTTCGTGGTCGATTACCACACCTTCCCACCAAGCCTCCTCGTAGAATAAGTCAACGCATTGACCGTAGTGTAGGAACCATGGACCAGGAACAGGGGAAGGCTGCAGAGGCCTTATTAAGCCACGGTGATTCTGTGGTGGGCCAGTGGGGGCAATTCCATCAATTGTGGGGCCCACTTTTACCTCTTCGGTCAGATTGTAAGAGCCGTCTTCGCTGAGAAAGTGATCGTAACGAATTAAACGAATCGAATCTTGACAGGTGATTACTGTGCCGGCGTGCCATGAACCGAGCAACCCATCTTCGAGACTCCTCACCTGGCACGAATATCGGAAAAAAATAAAATTAAGCCGGAATTTACGGAAATGGCGTAAATAGAAACAAATAAGTGTATACAGAATTTAAAAATAGTATATTTCACAGAACTGGAAAGGAGTAAAGGTTATATATATACAGAATCTGAAAAAAGGAGATACATACAATTAGTATAATCCATACACAGATTCACACAGGAAATTAAATTTTTGCATGTCGGCATAAACCGAATAAAGAAAATCCCAATTGCCCGGTGCATGAAAAATCAGAGAAAAATCGACATGCAAATACAAGAAATACAACCTTTTAACCCAGAGAGAGAGAGTAATGCAAGTAAAATTAAGAAACAAAAATCGGAAAATTGACGTTACAGCACATAAACAATTCAATGTAGATGAAAAAAACTCACACAGAGAGAAGAAAAAGGAAAAAAAAACCCCAAGATCAAAACCTTTTTACTAATTTAAAAAAAAAATTAAAAAATAGAGCCCAACAAAAATTGGCACAGGAGATGATTTTATACAGAATCCGTAGAGAGAGAGAAGGACGTGTGAAAAATAAAAAATAATACCTCAACTTTATCATCAGGAAGCAGCTTTCGACGTGTTGTTACGGCCGCCATTGGAGATCAAGTTATTTCCTTTGGGGTTTTTGAGTCGGAGTTGTGATGGTGCATTGGGGTTTTGTGATTCTTTTTTATTATTTGCTGAAACCCCTCTTTTTATTCCCTTTTATTAATTTCCTTTAACAGATCTGCTTAATCTCTCTCTCTCCTCTCTCTCTCTCTCTCTCTCTCTCTCTCTCTAAATTAATTTAAATAAAAACAAGAAAAAAAAGAAGTTTATTTACCAAGTATATCTATTGGACTTAAGGTAGGAAACGATTTAATAATGTTATAATTATATATTTTATCTAAGCACGTGTCTGATTTTTTATTTTTTTATATTATTAATATATATATGTGTGTTACGCGTGTATATATGCGCACGTACATATCAAATAAATTTGGTAAGTTAAAAAAGTATTAATTAAATGAGATGATCGTGCAAGGAAAATAAATTAGAATAATGACATATTATAATAATAGGAAAAAGATTGTTACACAATTCTAGGGATTAGTACTCTTTTTTTTTTTTCCATTTAAATATATGAGAGTTTGACTATTTAATTTGCTTCGATTATTATTGTACATTCTCCTTTCCTTGCTCCCCAAGTTTTTGCTAGTGTGTAGTATTGTTGGTGCCAACTCATGTATTTATTAATTATCCAAAATAATATTCTTCTTTTCTTACGTTGGGCAAAATTACGGTCAGCCCTAAGGTAAGCGGTAAGCCTAAATTATTAAAAATAAATCATCGTGTTTTAATAATTACAATTACTTCTTAATTACGTATTGTCTTATGTAAAACCCCTCATTCAACGGGTAATTTTAAGCCGTAAAGGTAGACGTGTAAGGTAGTACATAGTTGAAGGGTGATTGTAATTACTGAAATATAATGGGCGTTTTCGTAATTTGAACATACATTGGGGGTGGCCATAATTTGTCCTTATTATACATCGGGGAGGCCATAATTTGTCGGGACTATTAGTGAAACAACCCCCCACCATTTTGTTTAGTAACGATGGGTTCAGCCACTTTTCACTTATTAGTAATAGATTCATCCATTCATTTATTTTCAAATTTACTCTTCATGTATTCACTACTCATTACCCATCATTGTAGTGTATTTTTCTTTTCTTTTTTTAATTTTGTTCGTTTATTTATTTTAATGATTTGAAAGAAAATCAGGTTTTTTTTTTCACAATTAACCAAAAAAAATCTGAAATCAACTGCAATTTTTTTCCAAAATCAACTAAAATTTTTTTTTTTTTCACTTTTTTGTATTTCAAATTTTTCCAGGATCAACTATAAAAGCATTTTAAACAGCTACAAAATTGTGGTGTTCAACAACAAGTTTACCAAAATTGAAAAATGAAGAGTAAAATTACTATAAACAACTAATTTTTTTGTTCATTTTATCCCAAAGTAACTATAAAAAAACTGTAAAACAACTACGAAAAGTATTTGTTTTCAATAGCAAGTTTACCAAAAATAACAACAAAAAACTAACGAAAGCAACTACAAAAAATCTAAATCAACTATAAAATTGCCGAAATCAACTATAAAAATTTGAAAACAACTACAAAGTTATCAAAAACAACTACAAAGGTATTGAAACTACAAGAAAAAAAAAAACACCCTCGATTCCAGTAAAACTTCAATAAAACTAAGCAAATACAACTACAAAAAATACAATCTTCTCCAATTCACCTTCTTTATGTCCTGCTCTTCAACATGGCACAATTCTTTATAAATCACGTCTTTATAATTGATTTCACCAATTGAACTTCGGAAACACCGCAAAAATCACCTACGAAAATCACAAATTCAAGTGAAAAACATCAATTCAACTAGAAAAACCACCAATTCAGCTACAAAAATATTAAACACATTAGAAGATTCATAGAATTGGGGGAAAAAAAGGCAATAAGCTTAAAGCATAATTTCAAGTCGGTAAATCATTAACATAATTAAAAGAATTCATAACAAACTCAACCGTAAAATCTAAAATTAGCATGCTTCTAGTCTAGAGTAATATTCCTAACGCGATTTCATCAAACTAAAAAAATGCAAAATTTCCGTACTAGTAAATCGCATACACAACAGATTTCCGTCCAAGTTGGATCCTGAAAACCTGGGGCGCAAATTACTCTACAGTCCGCGTTCTACCTTGACAGCTGCAAATTGCACTCTGATCGTCGGTGTGCGTGGAAGTGGAGGGGACATACGGCGACGACAACAGATTGATGACGGCGGTGAGGAGGTGGAAGAGTATTTGGGTGGGTAAGGAACGGTTGAATTTGATATTTGATTAACCAAATCCAGGTTTAGTGTTAACACAAGGGTAATATTGGCATCACACATATTAATTGTTAAAATATTATAAGTAAAACTCATTTGACTTTTAAGACTTTTGCTCAAACTCAAAATCCAATCTTAATTAGTGAAACTCCCTCAACAAATGTGATAAGCCGAAACTAACCTTATAGGTAGTTTTTTTTAAATAATTGCAATATTTACTTTCCATAACCTCTCACGTGATTGTACGATTACATTAATTCTCTCTTTATGTCTGCATCTCTCTCTCTTTTGTTCTCTCTCTCGTTCTCTCATAAAAAAATCACCCTCCTTCCTCCAGATTATATCTATATTGTCGTACCTTTTCAACATCTCTTTTGAGAACTCAATCTGTAGAAACTTGAGCCAATTAATTATGAGCAACCATGGCGACCCTGAAATTTTGCAAACGGAGCAAGATCTTCTATTTACACATCCCTTTTCGACAATCCCAGAGATGCAAATGTGAAATCTTGAGGAATTGAAATTGAGAAGAAGGTTGAGTTTCTCGAGTGCTTGGCTGGAACAGTGTATATATATATATATATATATGTGTGTGTGTGTGTGTGTGTGTGTGTGTGTGTGTGTGTGTGTGTGTGTGTGTTCTCATGATTTAAGATTCAAACTTTGTTTATTTTTATCAGGTGAAGTATTCAAGAGAGCCCGACAATATTACCAAATGTAATTCATTCTTCTTCTTAATTCCATTTTATTTGTCAAATGAGTTTTACTTATAATATTTTAACAATTAATATGTGTGATGCCAATATTACCCTTGTGTTAACACTAAACCTGGATTTGTTCTAGATGCAAGCCACAGCCGCCGCCTAAATACTCCAAACACTCTTGCCTCCGCCTCTTCACCACTAACCCGTACCGGATTGATGCAATTAAAACAACGCCGACAAGATTTGAGGAACTCATAACGCAATTAGGATTGTAGTCACATTGGAGTCACTGTTATTGAAGAAATACAGACATAATATGACTAAAGTCACGGTTAATTGATATATTTTTTTTTTCTCGAACTAGTTGTCTAACAGCAGACTAATTGGAGATAATCAGCTATGTAGTCATATGTAGTCGTATATAGTCATATATAAGATCTGTAGGTTTTTTTTCTAATTAATAATGATGATGATGGTTTTTTTTTAGTTGAAGAATTGATACGCGTGATTTTTTTTGATGTATTTGTGTGGCTACAAGTTGACTTGTAATAATAAGATTCAAAATTGCGATTTTTTTGTGTGGATATTGATTGGATTTTTTCGTAAATAATAGGCGACCTTTGTTTCTTTAGATAATTTGGTAAACATGACTGTACTACGTTTTATAATCAGGTATTTAAAGTTGAAAATGCAAAAATTGCAAAATAAAGAAAAAAATATGACTACAGTTGATATAGTCACATACAATCATATTAGACTATAGTCATATTTAACTATAGTCATATTCGGCTTAGTACACTTGTCGGGGAAAAAAAATCATTTTTTTGTTTAAAAGAATTTAAGAAAATATGACTATAGTCATATTCAATTATAGTCATATTCGGCGCAGGGGCGGAACCAGGATGAAAATGTAGGCGGGGCTAGCTAAAATTTCGAAGTTCGGGGCAGCGGCCCGAAAAGAAATTTAGGTTCACAAGACATTGCAAAAATAAGTTTATATTGATATGTTTTAATCAAAATGTCATTATATATTATAATTTTATCGTATTTTAAGCATGACAAACAAATCTAAATTAATTCAAATTATTCTAATAATGTATCGTATTTAGTATTTTGGGGATTCATGGCATCGTTTCATGTTAATTTTTAGAGTTATTGATAAAAAAATTCAAAAATATGTAAATATTCATAAATTTTATTTCAAATAATACAAGTTTTCACCATTTTATTTTATATTTTTATATTAAATTGAGATATATATATATATATATATATATATAATTATGGAGAAGAAAAAAAATTAAGGATTAAGATACATATTTGCAAAAACTTTAGGGGTCAAAAGTAATATTCAAAAAATACAGTGCCAAAATAACAAAAAAAAAAAATTAATCTTGGGGGGTCAACAACCCCCCTATCCCTTGTAAATTCCACCTATGATTTGGGCGTAGTAAATTTGTCGGGAAAAAAATCAATTTTTTCGTTTAAAAGAATTGAAGAAAATATTAGAAAAATATTAAAAATAATAATAATAATTAAAAAAAAAAAAAAAAAACTTTACGTCTGCAAGTTGGTTTAGATTTTGTATGTGAAGCAATTTTTTTTTTTATTTGTTGGCTGATTTGATAGAGTATATTTAGCTGATTTTTTTTATTTTTTTTAATTCGTTGGCTGATTTTAAGGAACTGGGATATTGAGTTGGAAAAAAATCGCTAATATTTAGGCATTATTTAAGAAAAGCGAGAAACGTAGATCATTGGGTAGGAGATTTTATAATTTCAGAAGGGTAGTATAGGAATTAATATTTATAGGGGTTATCACAAAGAAAGATTTAAAGGTTGTATATATCACCATTTATTATCCATCCAAGAAATTTATTGCTAAAGGCCCCTAATGAAAAATGTGTGGATCCGTTCTAATTTAACCCTAATGAGTGAGGAGTTTTTCACTAATAAAGCAATAATCTCTAATTTGTCCTTATTATGTATGTTGACAACGTTTTGTCGATATGCTATTTTATTATTGGAACAATGCTTTAGCAAGTAATTTTTACTTTCTAGCTCTCATATATTATACCATTTTATTATTGGGAAAATGGTACATATGCTCATAACAAGGGACTTATGTGTACATATGTCCAAATAAAAAGCAGTTTTGCAAATAAACTCATCCCTATGTCTTTTGTCTCAAATTCCCTCCATAATATAATTTTCATCAATTTCATCCATTATACTCTAACTTCATCAATATTGCACATTGACATTGGATTTGAACAAATATATCACATTAACCCCCATTTTCATAATTTAAAAAGAAAATCAATTTTTTTTTTCCGGCCAGATTCCGGCATTGACCACACGGTTCTCCGGCGTTGATTTTTTTCTTTTTCTTTTTTCTTTTTTGAATTTTTTTTTTTCTAAATTTATTTTTCCAACCGGTCTCTAGCGTTGACTTTTTTTCTCTCTTTAAATTACTGTGTTAACAACAAAATTATTATTGAGATAGTAATATTGAATACCAAAACAGAGCATCTATGCGAGTTTTATTCACAAAATTATGTTATTCAGAAAGCACTAGAAAGTCTCTCTCGTAGGTGCTCAACCATCGAAAACCAGCTTCAATTGAGCGAAACAACAATGATGGACCTTAATATTCACGACTCAACCAATATTTTACGACTCAAAGTTTACCTTCTTTTATGTTAAAACTAAAATATAATTTAGCATCTTATATGAAATGAATGCAAATAAACAATAACAATTATGAAAAACTAGTAAAAAAAGATAATCAATTTAATACATAATAAATTTAAATAGTAAAAAATAAATCAATTTAATACATAATAAGAAAATATACTACACTAATATAATAAAATTTAATAATGTAGTATTATTCATATTGAATTTCTAGCTTTATCTCTTAATATTTGAGATATATTGATGAAAATTAGGAGATCAATAATTGTTGAAATTATAGTTAAAAAATTAGTACAGAAAAAATATTAAAAATAAATAATTACATAAGTAGCAATAAGGTAGGATTTTTCATGGGTTAGTTTTAATTTTGATAATTATTAAAAAGTATAGTGAGAAATTAGTAGAGGAAAAATATTAAAAATAAACAATTAAAGAAATATTATTAGAGTTTTTTATGGTTGCCCATCGTTTCTTTCTTTTATATATAAAATAGATCCAATAATGAAGGCGATGCTTCATTTTAAATTCATTTTATCTTTACTCTCAAATCCTTCTATCCAAACGCACCCATTCAAACTAAAAAACTAATGATAAGGAGTCGAAATCAAACAAATCGAACACCAAACAATAGTTCAGGTCGGATTTTTCGAAAATAGGTAAAAAAACAATTGAATCGACGAGTATACCACAAAACAAATTAACACCATACATTTTCGAATAACATATATTTCCGAATATACACATATCCTGAAAAAGGGAGATGCAACGGTTCAAGTTCACCCTGAAAAAAGACACACAAACGCTCGGTTTTTTTTCGAATAAACTCGAAAAAGACACCAAAAAAAACATCGCAAAAATCTAGTACTGACCCACAAGTACTAAACAGAGCTTTTTATTTCAGCTTCATTATATTACATCCTACAAATTAATGTCCCATATATATATATATATATATATACACACACTAGCTCCGAATGGTGAGTCCAGGAGGGGTCACACCATTCATGAGTGGACCAGAGTCAACGATCTTAGGTGTCAAATTCCCATTGGCCAAATGCTTCTCATACCCGGAATTGTGGACCCCAACGGCGGCTCTTCCGGAAGGATCTAGATTCTTCGACCAAGAAGCATCCCACGCGACAGCTGTAGCGGTGCTGCATGCTACACTCGCTCCACCCGGAACAGTCAGCATCGCCGAATTCTGCAATCACCAAAATCGACAACTTTATTTAGCAAAAGCTAATTTTTTTTTTAAATATTTTAATTTGTTTTTGTAATTGAGAATTGTATTTAGTAAAAACGTACCTGCGGAAAGAATCTCTCGAATATCACTCTGTAATGGTAGGCCTCCTTTGTGGTGGGGGTATTATGGGGGAAAATATGTGCAGCGTTACGCATCATTTTGTCGGTGACCTATTAATTTGATCGATCACAACATAAGACGTTTAATTTATACGAAAAAAAAACGAGGGGTCGTAATTTTAGTGAAAATAGAAAAATAAAACATACATGGAGTTCGGCATGAGCTTTAAGACCATCAATCCAACTATAGCCGACTCCGTCGCTGAACTGTTCTTTTTGCCTATACAGAATATGCTGCGCGCCAGACGAAGTCATCCAAAAAAGTATGTTAAGACAAAGTTATAATCAAGAATTACTAGTGGTCGATATATTATTACGAAAACCCGTAATTGAATGAATTTACCTTTGGAAGATACGGTTTTTCCTCATCATCGAAAGCCTTTCTTAAAATCCATTTCTCCATTCTCCCTTGGTCCGGTTTTATCTGCGAATTAAAAAAAAAAATATTAAAAAAATAGAACATTAGGATGAAATTAAATAGGAGGTCAATAAATTAAAATGAAATAAATAAGTACCATTTTCCAATCGGGGTCAATGTTCATTGCAACATCGATAAACTCCTTATCAAGAAACGGAACTCGAGCTTCTAATCCCCATGCAGAAGTTGCTTTATTTGCTCGAAGGCAATCATATTGATGAAGGGCTTTTATCTGCACGATTCACAATTATTTCGATTTTATTTTTATTTTTTCTCCTCGTATTTAACCCTCGGAATATAAGATGGTTATTAGTTGTTACCTTTCGGCAAGTTTCACGATGAAGTTCTTCCTTGTTAGGCGCCTTATGGAAGTAGAGATAACCGCCAAAAATCTCGTCGGATCCCTCACCGGATATTACCATTTTTACCCCTAGCGATTTTATCTTACGTGACATGAGGAACATGGGAGTGCTTGCTCTTATTGTCGTTACATCGTATGTCTCGATGTGATAAATGACATCCTCGATCGCATCGATTCCATCCTTCATTGTAATAAAATTAGCGTATATATAAACTCTTTCGGTAATAATATATTCAAGAACAGATAAGAAATTCAAAAATAAAAAATAAATACAGAGCATTACAGAGTGGGAAGAAGCTGCTGCTTACCTGAACACTGAAATGAAATTCATGATGAACGGTGCCCAAATAATCGGCAACTTCTTTTCCAGCTTTTAAATCAGGTGAGCCCTACATAATAACAAGTGTAGCAAAATCCGTTAGCGAAATATTCATGATTAAAATTTAAAAAAAAAATTAATACCGAAACTGACCTCAAGGCCAACGCAGAAAGAATGGAGCTGTGGGCCCCATCTCTTGGCTGCTTTTGTACCCGCAAGGTAACGGGCGGTAACAGATGCAACTAACGACGAATCGAGCCCTCCCGATAAAAGAACGCCGAAGGGCACATCGGTCATTAGCCTCTTAATTACAGCCTGAAATTGTTTATTTTTTTTAATTAGGAGCTATAATTTTTTCATATATTAATCTAGAATTAAATTTAATAAAAAACCTCACATTTTCGAAAGAACGCCTCAAGAGTAAAGGGTCGTACGGAGTCGAAGGAATGGATTCGGAAAACCACGCGGGGTTGTACCATCTTCTAAGAGCTCCGGTTTTGCTCGAGTACAAATGGCCCGGTGGAAACGGTTCGAACGTCTCGCATTCATCATTCAACCCTTTTAGCTCCGACGATATCCAAATCGAGCCTAAATATTTATCCAAGAAAAATTTAAATATATTTAAATTTAAATTGATTCGATTTTTTCATAAATAGACATAGATGATTGTGAAAAATTACCATCAAGTCCCCAACCGATGTACAAAGAAGTTATTCCGATTGCGTCACGAGCCACAAGAAAGCTGTTGTCACGAGCATCAAGCAGCACAAACGAGAACATTCCGTCGAGCATTTCCACGAATTTCTCTCCGTACTCTTCATACTGAAAAAAAACAAACATTATCAAATAATTAAATTTTACGTTCATCGGTTTATATTTCGAAAAAAATAATAATAATAATAAAAATACTCACGAGATGTGCGATGACATCACAATCGCTTCCGGTACGGAATTTGTGGTTGGGCAATAGCTGACGAAGCTGCTCGTGGTTGTAGATTTCGCCGTTCACCTAATAAATTCAAATGTAAATATATAACATTAATGAATAATGAATTTTTGTCGTGTATTTCAATATTTATACGCACGATTTTTTGGCGTGTGTATAAATTCACGTACCGTAACGACAATCTTTTTGTCTTCATTGTAGAGGGGCTGATCGCCGGAGGCGGGATCGACAATCGCAAGCCTTTGGTGCGCGAGATAACAATCTCCATGCTGATATAATCCACTCCAATCCGGGCCCCTATGCTTCAATCTAATTACCACAAACAGCACATAAAAAGTTCAATTCATGTTGGAAAACTAAAATTAATTAATCAATAGTGTCGAAACAATCAAAATATAGTAATATTTTTGGAGCTGTAAATCGTCATCTTCTTGCGAATTTCGATTAAGTTATTTTATACAATTTGAGACCTTTGTTTGGGAATGCTGATGAGATTGATAAAATTGATTGGATGGGAAAGGATTACATATGATTGTGATAACAGGGGTCTTGGTAGTGGGGCCAGCACAGAGTCAAAGGGGGCCAAAGGGGGCCATGACCCCTCAACATTTCTCAAATCACTACTAATTTATATAGAAATATAAAAAAGAATTGTATACAATAGCATTAACGGGCCTCCCTTATAATTTTTTTAATGCATTCAGCCCACTCAAACTTAAAATCCTGGCGGAGCCCGGGGGTCGAGGTTGGATACAATATCATTCTATTAAAATCCGGGCTCGTTTTTAATCACGTTTGCTTCAAACCTAACTAAGGTGGTGTTTGCAAACGCTTTTAAATAAGCAGAAGTTAGTGATTCTGATTTAAGTTCAGGATAAGTGTTTATTCCTAAAAGCAGGGGGTGTTTGCAAATATCAAAAAAATCAACTTAAAGCACCCAATAAAAAAGTTGCAGTGTTTGCAAAATAAATTTTAATTTTCAGCTTATTTTTTTAAAATGTCTTAAATGCCCTAATTAAGTACAAACTCATTTTTTTTCAATGAAAACTTCATAGTCGGTCTCTACTGTGTTAAAACCAGTAGCTAATGTGTTAAGACCATTAAGACGAGTAGACATGCTCACACACAGTGCTGATCAAAATTTACAAAAAATAAAGTTAAGGAATGGCAGCAATAAAAAAAATCAAAAATCAATGTTTAATGTAAATGCATATAAAGACAAATAAACGTTTGGCTAATCTAAAGGTTGAACACAAGTGAGTCGGCTAGGACAGGGGAGAAATCAATGCATATACAGTGGAGAAATAAATTGAAACATACAAACACAAAACACTTCCCAAGAATAAAAAAATAAATCTTAGATTACCATAAAAGGTTGAGAATTCATACCAATTGCAATTGACGCTGAATCGAATTTACAGTGCGGGAGCCGAGACAGAGAACATATATATTATGAGGTTTTTGGTCGTGTGTTATAGGAGGGAAATTTTAGGTCGTGCTTAGATTTTGGGCGCTTTGCACGGGGTAAAAATGTATTTGCGTTAAAATATTAGCTTTTAATTATTTACAAAACTGCCATTAATATAAAAAGCTGCTTGAAAGGTGCTTTTCAGATTTTAGATTAAATCAGATTTTTTTAAGAGAAGCAAAAGCATAATCATGTATTGCAAACACTCAAAAACTGATTTTGAACCAAAAAAAGCTCATAATCACTTTGAATAAGCATTTGCAAACACCACCTAATTGATGCGAAGAAAAAGAAAAAAAAAACAATAATAATAATAATAAGAAGAAGTAAATTATGTCAATATCGGAGAGTCTCAGTCATCAACTTCTACAAGTTTCCGCATAAGAAAAAAATAAAGTTAGCTAATTACTAATAATAATAATAATATAAAAAAAAAAAAAAAAAAAAAAAAAAAAAAGAATCTTTTGAAAAAGAAGACATGGATTCCGGGATTTCAACATACGAATTGTTCAATTTCAAAATAACAAAAATGAAGGGTAAATTAAATTGAACAAAAAGTAAAAAAAGAAGAAAAAATTACCTGCGAGAAAGCTCGAGAACGCGAACCCGTTTAGCCTGAGAATCATCCGAACAACCCAGAACCGCGAGTATTCCACACATGCTGAACTATAGCTATATATATATGTGTGTACGTATATATATTATAAGAGAAATACAAATTAAAAGTAACAATGCCTTTGATCAATCCTTTTAATTTCAAGCTTATACAGAACTTGCTCTCTAACAAAAAAGAAATGAAGAGAGAGAGAGAGAAGAGAGAGAAAGAGGAGAGAGAATGTGGGGGCAAATTGTATGGGAGAGATGTACACGTTAGCAGTTATGCTAAATAATCTGAGTTTTCTGTTTATTGTTTTTCCTTTTATTTTCTGTATTGCACCGCTTCCACCGATATTTATAGGGGAGTGAGTTCTGGAAGAGGCCGTGTTTTTGCTTGCGTGGCCGTTAATTAAAATATACTATTTTCTTTTTAATTAACGTAAAATTAAATAACAAATTAGTTTCTCAATATTGCAGTTTTGCATGGGAGGTTAGAGAGAGAGAGAGAGAGAATATCTTTATCAACGTATAAAAATGTGGTTTTGTAGATGTTAATTGTTATATTTAGTGATTGTATATATTTAGTGGTTGAGCTAGCATGAGGTCATAAGGGGCCATGGCCCCTCCAAACAATTCTTCAGTTCTTATGTAAATGATGATGCTAAAATTATTTGATTATCTTAAGTTGTTAGAGATTGACGGAACTGAGAGAGCAAAGTGTATCATCGCTTATGGACTAAATAGTCTTGAGATACTTGTGAATAGAGAACACGTGAACTAGGTCGGGGTTGGTCCGGCGAAACCATCTCCGATGCTCAAGTCAGACGTCATATTATCTGAGCAATGCTGCAATTCGTATTCTCTCAACTATTTCTACTATCTGCACGTCTGACTTGAGCGTCGGAGGGGTTTTCGCCGGATCACGCCTCTCGGCCTAATTTATGTGTTCTCTGTTCATGGATATCTCAGAATCATTTAGCACGTGAGCCGTGATCCACTTTGCTATCCTAGTTCCTTCTATCTCAACTACCTAAGGTGATCTAATCCTACAATTATCAGTAAAAATTTAAAAATATTCATGTATTACTTGCCTATTCGACTCCCTTACAAAATAATTAATGTATTCAGCTCTAACAAACTTAAAATTATGACTCAAGCAAGGTTATATATGTAATTGTAAACTATACTGTATATAGTACATTGTCATAAGCTTATAGAATCATGAATCATTAGTTCGTTACATATTTACACATATATATAGATGTGAATGTAGGAAACGTGTATTGGTCATATATATTTATGCTCAACCTCACTTTGCACCATTATAATGTACTATTTTGCCACTTTGCACCCTTGAAAATAATTTATGATACTTTGCATCCTTGAAATATGTTTAATCGTTTAAATTGAACCCTAGTTTATTTTTCAGCCATAATTATCATCATTGACCTAACTTCTGATAGTTAACAGAGTCATTTTTGCTCGAAAATACATTAGCAATTCGCACCCCTAAAGAAAAAAATCAATTGAATAGACAAAACTGACCATGTTGACCATCAAAAAATAAGTAAACGATAGAAAATTATGTCCAGAAAATAGACTAGGGAGTACGTTGAATAATATGAAACATGTTTTGAGGGTGCAAAGTATCATAAGCAATTGAGTTATTAATTTATTAATTGTTGAAGTTTATCGAATATAAATCATATAAAATGAGTTACTAAGATTTGAATGCACGGATTTTAAATAAAAGATTTCAAATAAATAACAACAAATTCATCAAAATTCAATGGATTAATGCCAAATACTGAATTACCGAATTCTTCTTCCAAAATTTTCTTGTGAAATATAATGTTTAATCCAAACGTAAATAAATAATATGAAAGAGGTATTGAAAATGTTAACAGAGAAGATAACGTAAGAAAAAATAACCAATTCTAATTGGCAAGGTTAGTACCTAATTTTTCTATTAGGGTAAATGTTACGTATAAAATTGAACTTCTAAATAGGAATAAAATTGAGAATCAAAATTGCTTATTCTTTGAAAAAAAAAATTGCTTATTAAAGTCATTGATAGCTACTTTTAAGCGGCGGCGTTTTTCTACTCATAAAAAGTTAAAACAAGGTTCAAATCTATTTAAATTTTATTAATATTACCGTGGAGAGAGACCAGCACGTGCAAATCATTCTTTCATCATAGAAGAACCTCGATAAATTAATAATTTCTTTTAAATAATTTTATCTTTTTATTCGATTCAGTAAAATCTACTAAATTATTAGTTCATAATTTAATATTCCCCTAAATTAATAGAATTTTGCTAGTCCTGGCAGTATTTATTGATAGAGGTTTACCTGTATGTATATATATATATATATGTGTATATATATATATAGATGTATATATATATACATATACATGTATATATATATATATCCGGCTTTTTTTTTTTCTTTTTTTTAAGTTCCGTGTCCAAAGCAAGGGAAATAGAAAATG